AGCACTGGTGTTTAAAGAGGGAGTGGGTGGAGCAGTGCTTCTACTGACTCATGCAGATTATTAGTCATAAAGCATAAAAGAAAACTCCCCCAAAAGGCAAGTGGAGCCACCTTAAGTTTAAGATAACGTTCGAAGGAGAGCCTTTATTGATTTATAGGTTTTAAAGGTAGATTCAGAGACCTAGCCTTAGATATCAGCTACTGAGTGCCTGCTTTACCTTACTGGAAGTCTTGCAAGACTTGTTTGTTCTGAGGAAATGCTCAGTGTCTTAGAGTTTGTTCTCAGTCCTGTTTAGCTTGATACCAAAAAGTAACTTAATCTGGGTCTGAAGCTCTCATGGGAAGCTGCAAACACACAGTCATCAAATGTCTTTCTCATTCACCCCAGTAATTACAATACAACTGAGAGTAGTTGTATTGACATCTCAAATAAATGAAAAAGAAAAAGTGGTGTAGTTTCTTGTTGCACTAGAGAGGAGAGTTTTTCTGAACCGCCTGCATGAGTCATAAGGTTGGTTTTAGTATAAGCACCCATGTATGGTTTCCAGACATGAAATCATTCACTTTGTTGTGACTTGTTGTGGAACAGCCATTAATCTTTGTCCTACTGTAAACAAAGCTGTGCTTCAGCAGACAACCCAGCCACTACAGTATTTGCCCTTCTGTTTCTCAGCACCTGATACTGTCATTGACAGTGATTCTGCTGCAGTGCAAGGAAGTCTCAGGGCACAAAGGTTTCTTAGAACTGCCGGCATGCTGTAAAGCCAGAATCAGAACACATCCTCTGTTGTGGGTGAGTCAGTCTGTAACATTCCAGACAGAAAAGCCCCAGGGAGAGCGGTGAGATCTGTGGAGAAAGTCACTGGGGCCTTCACTTCCACCTATTGAAGACACAGCCGACAAACATATCTTGCTGAAAGCCATCAGTACAATGGGGTTTGCATCCCCTTACTTTGAAATGGCAAAAAGAGTAAAACAATTTTTTTTTTGTCAACATAGTGTTTAATGCACATTCAGCTAGTGCAAATGTTCCTTTATCAACAGAAGTAACTGGGAGTGTATAAAAAGAAAGTTATAGTACAATAATGAAAATCATATCAGTGCAAAATTGCATCCCCCTGAAATCTTCTCTAATATTGTGTATGTCCTCCGAACCTACTCCAGCCTATTTGGGTACACTCTGAGCAGTGTTTGTATCTTGTCAGGTGTAATTTCAGTCCATTCTTCATGGCATACCTGTTCCAAGTCTACTAGACTGCTTGGTTGTCTACTACGTACAGCCCTCTTCTAATCAATCCACAGGTTTTCAGTAATACGGTAACTGAAGATGTGCTTGGAAACTTGATTGAGAGCTACATAAAAATCCAAAACAAACTGCAGGTGACCTGACAAAGTCCTTAGAGGCAACAAGTCCACATCTCCATGGTTCAGCGTAGTCTGGACAAGTCTGGACTGTTTGGGAGAACAGCATGCTGGAAGCCATTGCTTACTTCTAGACAAAAGGCAGCAGGCTCAGAGTATGCTAAAGAGCTAGATTATGTGGTCTGATGAGGCCAAAGCTGAATTATTTGGTCATAATTTGCACAGGTATGTGTGGCTAGAAGAACTCTGCCTACAATGAGAGGAACACCATTTCCACAGTCAAACATGGTGGAGGCGTGCTGATGTTTTGGGGGTCTGCATCAGGCACTGGAGCGCTGCATAAAGTGGAAGGAAGAATGAATGAAGCCCAATGTCTGAAAGCCTCCAACCATCAGTCAGAGAGCTAAAAATGAAGAGGCAGTGGGTCCTTCAACAAGACAATAATTTAAAGCACAGAGCAAAGTGAGCTCAGGAATGGTTTCAAAAGAAAAAGGTGAATGTCTTATCGTGACCTTCCCAGTCTCCAGACTTAAATATCACTGAAAACCTGTGGATTGATTATTTTACTATTGCTTCTATTCTTTTTATACATTCTCTGACTATTTTTGTTATTCCTGTTGCTGAAGGAACAGTCGTAAATATCACTGAAAACCTGTGGATTGATGATTTTATTATAGCTTTCTTTTTATACATTCTCTGACTATTATTGTTACTCCTGTTGCTGAAGGAACAGTAGCTGAATGTGTATTAAATATTATGTTAGTATCACCCGACCCCTCACACCCCTGGCATGGATTGTTTCCCCTACTACCTTCTGTGAGGCAATGAATTTGGAATCTACTGTAGATGTAAACTTTGAGATAAACACTGTCTCCAGAGTCTTTGCCCCTTTCTGCACCAATGGGACACCTGGCAGCACCTCCTTTCTTGTTCTCAGCGAGTGTCTTAGTTTAGAGGCATTCACTGTTTTTCTAAAGTGGGCCCACTGAGACTATATAAAACACTTGATATAGACTACACAAATAAACCTGACTTGTTTTAAATTCCAGTCAAGTCGGGAGCAACCTGTGAACCAAATACCGAACACTGTGGCTGTTAAATATTTTTAAACTGTTTCAACTCCCTGATTTTCAAGCAGTGTTGTTTGCTTAAAGATCCTCAGACATATACTGTATTGACAATATGGGCTACTTTGGTAACTTAAAATGTGGAATTTCATATCAAAACAGTTCATCTTTTGTAGATTGTGACAGTAATATTTGTTTATAATTATTTAAGGTGCGTAATTATTTTAAGAAAGAGTATCTTCTTGTTCTTCTTCTGCTCTGCACAAACATGGCTGCCACCTGATTTTGTTTATATTTTTGGAAATATAAAATAAATAGAAATACATACTTGCAACAAACAATGCATTTAAAAGATAAAATACATTTTTGGCAGGCTTCAAAATTTTTTATAACAATTCTAGTGAAATATATGTATATTTTGCTCATTTACTTGAGAACTGCAGGCATCTGAGTGGTCATTTGTACTGTACTTTCTCCTCAGTGCTACTGTCCGTGTTTGTTGTTTAAATTTCTTTTGAAAACCTTTACACAGTGTTGTGGTGGGTGCCCAGTAATCATGACAGATTAGTTCAGATTTAACAGCTGTTTACTGGGTGATCATCAGCATGTCAGAGCAAACAGGAAGGACACGCTACACCCATGACTGCTGCATCATTACAGTGGTAGCTAGTGGCCGTGGAGTAGAACAACATGCAGACAGTCTAGAACACAGTACAGTCACTTTATGAAATGGTCAGAAAAAAACTAAATTTGTAGGTTAGCTTTCAACAAGCCTTGTGAGCTTGTTTATTTAGAATAAGGTTAACAGTCAAGAAATACACAAAGTTGTGAAATGGGAAGTGCTATTTTGTGCACTGGGTCAAGTTACATGAGTCAGCATGAGCTTTTCTATGACTTGGATCAGCACGAAACTCTCAGTTCAATCATAAGATGATTAAATGCTGCATTAGTAAATATTTGTTTCTCTGCCAAACGGTCAAGGGTTAAAAAAAACCTCAAGGAGCATTTCACCAAGAAGCATTCAGTCAATTAGGGTTCTTCTCCTCAAATCTGTTGAAACTGGAGGTCATAATATCAACCTTTATGGTCATTACACCGACTGACTGCATCGGTCTTCTCATTAAACTCTCAGCAAGAACCATATCTGCCTATTTCCCAAAATGCCCTGTGTTGTTCACCTTTAAAGCTACTTGTCACCTACAGATCTGCTGTGCTGTCATCTGGGTGGTTAACAGACCTCAGTAGTGTATTCTGGATGGTTTCTCACGATTGGGACATTATGAAAGGGACAGTAAAGCTAAAGGTTGAGACAATGTCTTTCTAATTTGCATCCATAAGTTTGAAATCTTAAATGAGCTTTTGGGTTTTGACTGCCTTGATATGTTTCAAAAATAATCCTCTAATGTGTTTGTAATCCACAGTGTTTAAGTAAATTGTACAGTTAGGTGTAAAGTGACCAAACCCTCCTCACACACACATTACACAAGACATATGATTCATTCCTCCCTCTGACTGAGAGATGACCGCCATGTGGTTCCCTCCTCCCAGGTGTTACACCATAAGAATGGAGATCGGCCAAAGCCCAACTCTGAGATAGGGAGGGTGCACACATAAAGACACACACACACACACACACACACACACACACTCTCACACACCCAACCACCCGCACTTTAGCACATACACAAACACAGAAACCACACACACAGTCTCTTTAGGCACTCTGTCTCATTCCCTCACACAGCTCATGTGACACAGCCCAAAACCATCAATTTGAACAGTGCGTGCGCACACACACACACACACAGGATACAGGACCGATGGGGGATGTTGTATGTGATATGGTGAACAAAGGGGTCCTGATGAATATCAGTTTGGCTGAAAGTATGGAAAACATGGCTACAAGGCTACAAAGTTTTCATGTCAGTGACGGCTTTATTAATTAAACAATGACAGTCAGATTAGATGTGCATGTATTTAAATAGGTTGTAATCCAGACTGTCTGCTATTGCTTGCTATTCTCTTTTGCCTTTAAAAATATAACTATTTAAAACTCTCATTGCTCACACTAACAGAATGCTTATAAAAATTTCAGATGCTACAAATAACTAGATTGCAAACAAGTGATTCATAGGACCAGTTTGGCCATCGCTGTTGGCTAAAATAAACAAGGAATGTGAAAGTCTTGATGTGAATGTTGACTTGTGGCAGCAGACTAAAACAATATCTCCACATTACACTGCACATGGATACAAAATGACTGGTGTGACCGGTGTGGTACAAAAATCATACATTCACATGTGTACACACACACATATACACAAATACACATACACACTACAGCAGCAACATGCACATTGAAACACACAAGCACATTCCATAACAGTTTCCTCACAGGAGTGGAAAGAAACCGAACCCTGGTCCTTGAAAAAGAAAAAGAAGAAAGAAGAAGAAGAAGGTCCTGCCAAGCCCATGGCTGAACTGTAAAGGAAACTCCCTCCCCCCCTCCACTTCCCTCCTCCCAGCCAGGCCCGCCCCATGTCCAAGACTATATCAGTGCCTCATTCTATCCAACCTCACAGTCCTGCTACGGTGTGCAGCTGTATAACGGTCCTCTCTCCTTGTATTCTCTCCTGACCAGCAGTCAGCCATCATGTATCAGAAAGTTACTCGGCAAAGCCGCAGCTATGTATCAAGTGCTGCTCCAAAGGCTTACAGTGTGTCAGGACTCAGCTTCACTGGAGGCCCTCGCATCTCCTCTTCCACTGTGCGCAATGTCTCCTCTGGGTTTGGAGGTGGCATGGGGGTTGGTGGCGGCATGGGGTATGGTGGTGGTGGCTTTGACCTGTCCAGTGCCCTGGACCAGAGTAGTACACACTTCAACGAGAAGGCCACCATGCAGAACCTGAATGACCGTCTGGCCAGCTATCTGGACAAGGTTCGCAGTCTGGAGGCGGCTAACACCAAGCTGGAGAAACAAATCAGAGAGTACTACGAGCAGAAGGGCCCTGCAGCAGAGAGGGACTACAGCAAATACTGGGCCATCATCAATGACCTGAAGGACAAGGTATAGTGTGTGACAGCTTCAACACCAGACAAGTCAAATATTTGCTATGCTATTAATGATGGTTAACCATGGTTGGTTTAAAAGGGTAGAGACATAACAGGCATAACTAGAAACCTGTTGTGTGACTGAATCCTCGCTCTCTTGATAGACATCAAAAAAGTATGACTTGTAAAAGCTCAAAATAAGAGAAGGTTGCCGAGTGTAGGGGAATACTGTGCATGCCACTGTGACTAATAGCTGAGGGACTTCAAAGAGTGGAGCTTCTAATGCAGCTGAGAAGCTTTTCATTTGAAGCCAACTGTTAAATTAGCATGTAACTCATGCAAATGATCAACATGAGAACAAGTCTATGCAACCGCACTATTTAACGGAGTCTTTTGACCAACACTCTTCAGATCATGGCTGCTACTGTCGGCAATGCCAACATCCTGCTCCAGATTGACAACTCCAAACTGGCTGCTGATGACTTCAAAACCAAGTAAGCACAAACCTTCATACTTCTGTGGTTCAAAACTCATCTCGTTAATGTCAAACAAGACGTTTGTTGAGACAGAGCTGTCTGATAGTAACATTCTTTACTCTCAAAACCGATCAGACTCGACCATGAGCAGATGATGCGCCAGTCAGTTGAGGCTGACATCGCTAACCTGCGCCGCCTGCTTGACCAGACCACCCTGAACAAGTCTGACCTGGAAATGCAGATCGAGGGCCTGCAGGACGAGCTGGCCTACCTCAAGAAAAATCACGCAGAGGTGAATGATGCACTTCTTCTAGCTTGATTACACTTGCCATGACAACAGGAGCCTACCTCTTCACACCTGTGTGGCTGAAATTCTGCTAATAGTTCTTAATGCTGACTTTTTTACTGTTTAGGAGCTGGCAGCACTGCGCTCTCAGCTTACTGGCACAGTCAATGTGGAAGTTGATGCTGCACCCCAGCAGGACCTCAACAAAATCCTGGAGGAGGTCCGTGCCCAGTATGAATCCATCAATGACAAAAATCGTCGCGCGCAGGAGGCCTGGTTTAATGAAAAGGTGAATAGATTTGCCCATAAACAAAGGTGCCATATCCCACATGCTGCAAATGACTGGGTTTACTCCCACAGCAGTCTAAGGTGTAATTAAACACAATCTTCTGTGAAAGTAAGACAAGTAATTACCAAAACTCCTAACTGTCTCTTTTCCCTCACTCTAGTCGGAAACACTGTCCAAGGAGGTGGCCATGAGCACAGAAGTAATCCAGACATCCAAGACAGAGCTCACTGACCTGCGGCGCACTTTGCAGGGCCTGGAGATCGAGCTACAATCTCAACTCAGCATGGTGGGAAAAAGGAGACAGAAACCCAAACCATCTGTTCACATCTCACTGATATTGCCTTATATGAGCAAAACTGCCAGATCTGTGTCTTGTCAGGGGGAAGCAGAGAAACAGACAGTGACAGAGGGTAAAGAGCAGAAGGGAGGGTGGGAGAAGGAGGGTTTATTAAATGAATGAGGGGAGGGAGAGAGAGTTAAAAATTATGGGAGCTGTGGAGAAAGGGAGGGAATGGCTCCCACTGAGAAAAACATTTCACAGGCATCTGCTCAAATTGTGGAAGACATAAAAGAGCTTGAAGAAGGCTGAAGGAATGCTGAACAAGATGACCTCAAAGTCCCATGAATTATTTATGCCCAGCTGGAGTTAATCACTCAGCACTCCCAGTGAGAACTGCACACTGCTCCTGTGTAACAGTGGAGAAAACCCATGCATTACAAACCCCCACATACGTCTCTGCCAGTCTCTTTGTAAAGGAAAGGACAATACTATGTAAACACAGACATACTTTTGTGCCTAACATATGTGATCCAGGGTGGGGCAGGTGGTTACAGTCTTTGGCTTTAAATCTAACAACTCTCACAAAGGGTTCACTAGAGAAAGCTGGCTTACAAATACAAACAACAAAATATATTTAAGTGCATGAATTTAGCTACTTTTCTCTTCCGCTCTCTAACAGAAAGGGGCTCTGGAGAACACGTTAGCAGATACAGAGGGTCGTTACAGCGCCATGCTCGCTGGCTTCCAGAACACAATCAACATGCTTGAAGCAGAGCTAGGCAACGTGCGTTGCAGCATCGAGCAGCAGGGCCAAGAGTACAAAATGCTGCTGGACATCAAGACCAGGTTGGAGCAGGAGATTGCAATCTACAGGGGCTTGCTGGAAAAGGAGGAGTCCAGGTAGACACAACAACACATGAGCATTATGAGACCCTTAGACCACAGTGCACTCATTTATTGAGAAAATGATACACATGGTGACTAAACTCACTTTTAAACTCTACTTTTTTCTCTCTCTCTCATTTTAGACCTATTGCTACAGGTAAGTGACTCCTGTTTTACTGAAACATTACATGATAAGAGTTCAAAGCACTGCCATCATGACTGCCTTTCCTATTTAACAGGGGGCACAAAGACCACAGTCACATCCACCACTGTGCGCACTTCCAGCTAGAAGGTACAACCGGCAGGACAAGCTGTTCTCAGACACACACACACACACACACACACACACACACACACACACAGATACACATTCTGCCTATTACAAGCTGTTGCACGAGATGACTGAGTTAAACTATACTGAAAAAAGTGAAGCCTGTGTTCAAGTTTACATATGAAACATTTGCAATTTAGAAGAAGAAACGTCTGACATCCTGTTTGTTTGTGTGTGTGTGACCTGTCTGAAAAATAAATCTGCTGGTGAATATAAAAGTTGAGTTGTTCTGTGACTTCATTGGCCTCTCAGAAAAACCGAGAGTCCACATCTTTATCATAACATCATAATGTTTATGCAGTTGTCCTGGCAACTGCGCCCCACTCTGGGAGGTGGGATATGGAGTTACGGAAATCAGTGTTATGCAACACGGCTGCTGTCAGGAAAGGATGAACAATGGTTAATAGCTCCAGTGTGGAAAGTCTTAGGGTTTAAAGAAATAATTGCTCATAAACATATGTGGAGCTTGATGCTCTGCAAACCAAAACAGGAAAAGAAGACTTTACAAAAAGTGCAAGTTAAATGACCAAATTGAAGGACCCTGGCATTTGCCCATAAACTTTTTTTTTTTTAACAAGACACACCCAAATGGTTTGACTAAACATTGCCCTGTATGCTTTTCAACACTGTGTTGTAAAAAGTCTGACTAACTCCCATCACCTAGTAACAAGAACACACGGCTCATGACGGAAACACTGAGTGGGAATGCAAACAATGGCAAACAAAGAGGGTCATTGTTTTAAGTGATAGATGCCATATGCTAAGCTCTGGGTGATAATAAATGACCGGTGAGCTGCTAAGATAAAGTATTATGAAGGGTGGGGTTTTACAGCTACTGGCAACTTAATATGTGTTTTGTGTGTGAGAGAGGCAGGAAAATTGTTATGTCTGTGTGGTGTGTGCTTGTGAGGCAAAGGAGTGAAAGTAACATTTGAGCCTTTGCACGCTCATCAGTTATATCCTTTAAAATCACAGTGAAATCTTGTGAAGAGTTCATAACTCCCAAATGATGGTGTAATGCTGTCTTTGGAGAAGGCAGACTATGGAGGGGATCAAATTGCAAAATCCAACCCCTGCCTAGGAGCTTCACTCCCATATTTGGAACCATTTTGTTGCAGACCAGCATCGCTTCCAGTTATGCTTGTAATTTGTAATGAAAATCCAAAGCAGAGATTGATCAACCAACATCAGAGCATTTCCCCTAGATCAATGTTTAACCCAGTGAAACTGTTCAAACATTCAAGATTATGCAGAACCTGAAGATTTTTTTTAAAGGTGTCACTTTTTGATATTTAACATTTTTTTGCATAAGTTTGTCTTTTCATGTCCTATTTACCACTTTTCAGCCTGGTTTTAGTGTTTTTCTGAAGGTGATACAGTACACATGCTCAAATATAAACAGCAGCGTTCTAGTTCCAGTGTAAATCATGAAGTCGTGTGATTTATGCATCAGAGCATGTCAGAGCGTGGTTGCAGGAGACATATTATGATAATCACTTTTAACAGCCAAGTATGTTACACACACACAAGGAACTTGTCTCTGATATAGAACTGAGGGAGTCACTTGCGGTGCCAACTCACACACACTGATGATGGCGCTGTTCCTGCAAGGTGCTGCTTTGGCCATCAGAGGCAACTTGGGGCTCAGGTTCTTGCCCAAAGACACTTTGACATGCCGAACAGGGAGAACAGGAATAGAACTGCCGACTTTCTGGTTAGAGGATGACCGCTCTACCTCCTGAACCACAGCCGCCCCAGCTTAGCTTAGCATAATGACTGAAAGAAGGGGGAAACTGGTAGCCCAACTTCTTCCAAAGACTAAAGAAAATGATCCCACTTCTTCAGAACATCACAAATTACTAGTAACATCGTATGTCAAATATTTAATCTGCACAAAAACAAAAGTGTTGAAAAAGTGTAAAAACAACAATTTGTGATCACTGCACAGTCTAGCACATAATCTCTCCAGACTATGGTGAGTTGTGAGCAGAAAATATACTTAACATGGACAAATTGCACTGTCACTCACTCCCTTTTATGAGGCTGTCAGAATGGAGGTAGAATTTACTATCAGTAGGAGTGGGAGCGGCTGGCTTCAATTTGTAGTGGAACTTTGGCATAGAATGTGAGGACATTTTAGTTCATAATGAAATTAGTAGATAAAGAGATAAGGGGACCACAGACAAAAAAAGCAAAAAAACTGACACAGAGTAGTAGTTAGGTTATGACTTGTAGCATGAATAGGTAGACTGTCTGCACGTGGGAGCACAAAGAACTATGATAGGAGGAAATGCCAACTTGTCAACAGTCATTATTGTGTTCTCCTTGTCATGGATGTCTGCCATTCAAGGCTAGCCTGGAGCTAGCAGAGGGTGAGATCATGTGGGAGGAAAATATATTATTCACTTGATGTCATTGTACTTTGCAAGTACAATGTTCAGTTCAGAGTTCAGTTCAATTTATTAGTTCACTATGAAAGCCAGCGGAATTTGGATAATCTGATGCTTTGTCTTGACATCGTCAAACCGGATAAGAATATTCCCTACAATGTTGTAAACAATTCCTTGTTTAGCAACAAAAACTCCTAGTTTTTTAGCTGTGAGCCACTGTGTTGTGTTGTTAAAAACACAAGTTATAGTATAACAAGATTCGGATTTACACAGAAAATGGCAGATGAACAAATAACCATTTTGGGAATTACACTTGCTTGTTCTCTTGCTGGATTTAGATAAGAGGACTGATACCACTCTAGTTTCTGTATGCTAAATACAAACAGAAATGCTAGTTTAGCTTAGCATAAAGACTGAAACTGTGATGTTGTGGAGACTCCAGAAAGAGCTGTCACCATTATGTCTGTACAATAAACACTAAGCTACTGCTAGTAGCCAGGTGGTTATCTGAGCACAAAGACTGGAAAACAGTTGTCGTATCATTCTCATCTAACCCACCAAAAGCAAACAATAGTATTTTCCAAAAAGTTCCACTGAAGAATTAACCCACTGTAAAGAACAGATTTTTTGAATTAAATCATGTAAAATGTTTTATCAGAAAGCTCACTTGAATGTAGGCCTGGTATATCTCAGTGTGGAATTTTACAAAATCCCATTATGCTTTCATATCAGTGAACTGTTTATTGAAGTACTAGTCATGTCTGCAGCAGTTAAAGTGGAGGCTGGCATCCATATCAGCAGGGAAGGTGCTGGCTGTCTCAGGGTCAGAAAGTCCATTAAGGAGCTGGAGAGAGAAGAAACATTCTTCACTTGGCTGGCAGACTCTATTCTGGTGCAGTGTTAGGTTTGACACACAAGCTGAAAAGAATGCTTAACCTCCTTGCTAAAGGTCTCAGGTGCTGTATGGCATCGGACCTTACTGTGAAAGTTTTCAAACTCTGGCCCAGCTGCAGCAAGGCATAGAAACATTTGAGAGGTAGAGAGTGGAACAAAACTACATACATCTCTAGGGCTTTCAGGCCCTGCCAAGCATGAGACAGATGTGTTTTTTTCATCTATTTGAATGGCTGTGAATTTGGTCCTGTGCAAGAAAGAAAAAAATAATCCCACCAAAACCCTCTTACCGACAATGAGGATCAACTCAAAGGACCTAACAAGCACTGTTGTAATAAGAAAGCATGTGGCTCTGACTGGCCAGTGCAGGATGACTGAAAGGTGGGAGCTGAACAGGTAGGGCCTGTTTGAGGAACCACACCCTACACACAGTTCAAGGAGCTTGAAGACCTGGACAGACCTACTTGTGCTGAGCTCATAGTGCTTATAAGGTCTTAATAGTATTCAGTGTCAGGAGCATGTTATCATGAAAGAGTGAGCACACACAGAAAGTGGGTTTGATTCTGAAACACTTTTCTGTTGTGACTGTAAAACTGATTTTTAAAGCCAGGTTCACTTAAAGCTTTGCATAGGCTGGGCAGAGGTGTAATGGAGGTGAAGTCTTCCGGTCCTTTTTAGCCATGCTAACTCTGAGAGACGAGGCAGTCCAAGTAGCTTCAATACAGTGCTGATTTATTCAATGAACACAGGTAATAATTAACATTACACGCTCAGGTATCTTCCACCTCCAACAGCTGAAGGATGAAAAAGACCCTGAACCACAACAGGCCTATACATTTATCTCTTCGGTTGGGCTAGCCCCATTCTACACAGGAACGTCAACCGTGATGTGTCCCTGGTGCCAGCTTTGGAGCTGGTCATAGCAGTAGTCAAAGCATGAAGAAAATCAATGTGTGTGTGTCTGTTGATTAAGTGGTGTGTATCTAAAAACATTCTGACATGACATCTGGTGACATGTCATGACATTAAACATAAGAAAATATTATGATTACGGTTAAACACATCATAATAATAATGATAATCATCCTGTCTTCTAACAGTCATCAACTTTTCTATCTAGTTATCCTTGACCAGATGTACCCTGTAAAAACTCATGAGCATGACTAAGCATTTAACAGTCTAACTAGACATCCTGTCTCCACTAAACATTTCTAATGCATACAAGTACCTAACCAATGTCTATCTGACTAAAAATACCTAACAGAGCATATCCCAGCATGCACTGGGTGGAGAAACTAAAACCTGTGCGTTATGTGTGTTAAGAAATAAATTCTGCTTAAATCCCTATTAAGATACACAAAACCCAGTGAGTAATTACCCAGTGAAAGAACGATTGTTCAAAACCAACCAGAGGCAGTGAGGCAGAGCTTCCCAACACATCAGTATGACTATGATTTTCCAAATTCTGTACATGTGGCAAAGTGCCTTAAAGGCTCACACTAAATTTCAACAAAAGTGCATTCATTGCACCAGGTATTCAAAAATAGTAATAAATATGATGTGCACTGCATAACCACTGTTAGGAAGAGGCAAAAGCTCAGCAACAAGACAGTTGTATAGGTGAATGAATTAAATCAGGGTAACTACAAATTAAATCAAAATAAATAAAATAGAAATGGACATATGCATGTAGGCAGCAAACAGTGAACATACAGTACTGACAGAATATTGAGATTTAGATCACTGGCCACAGACTTGGCTGGGCAACTCCCTTCTCTTATAAAAATGTATGCAATGCTGCCACCAGGTGCTGGTTTCCTGTATTATTGACTCCTTAGATCAGTTTTCTGTGGAAACTGATTCCAACCAGTTAAAAAGAAAGAAAGAAAGAAAGAAAAATGATATGGCACCCTGTGACAACCAAAATCCCACAG